TATATTTATATATATATATATTTAAATACATGTTTAAATGTGTCGATTTATATATAAGTCAGAAAAATTTCAAACAACAGTAATTTTAAACAATATTGTTTTTTACTAAATCTTTTTTCTCCTTCCAGGCACTTAGAAAAATATGATGAAGTGTTTGAAAAGCTTAGAGTGAGTATCTGTATAGGATCTATCTTACCAACCTAATTTTTATTTACTTTCATAGGACCATAAGTGTGTGTGTTTTGCAGAAATTGGAGGACAGGGTGGCATCAGATCAGGAGCTAAAGCTGACAGAATTGTTGAGATACTACACAAGGGACATCCAGGCTGCCAAGGTGCCACCTTCCTGTTTGTGTTGTGTAACACTACATTGGTTACAAGCATTGGATTGTATAATTCAACCAAATGTATTAGATTTTATATTTTATAATTATTTCCAGAATGGGGTCATTGTAGAGTGGAAAATTCAAATTTTTGCCCACCTTGAATTCCCCGGTTTTACCAGCCGCCTAGATTTTTTTTTACCAGTCAATGAAACATACATTATTTTTCAAGTGCACATTACTGGTTCTAACAGCAACAAAATTTTTAACACCCTGGGTCATTGTTCACTAGCTGTCAATTTATCCTGATTATAGGTTGAGCAATAACACATTCCTTTTTCTTCCATCAGGACCTGTTGTATAGACGTGCACGGGCACTTGCAGATAACGAGAACTCCAATAAAGCTCTTGACAAGGCTCGTCTGAAGGGTAAGGACATCGCACAGGCTGAGGAAAACCAGAAGCAGTGTCTGCAGAAGTTTGACAAGCTCTCCGAGTCTGGCAAGAAAGGTGTTGTACAATCAAAACTTAATTTTATTTAACTGTCTAATAATATTTATAGTATATGAAGAGTTAAGATGGGGATTATAGATCTGGGCTGGTAGTCAAAAGATTGTAGGTTTAAATCCTGCAAGGAGCTATCTGTGAACTATTACCATTGTGCCTGGTAAGACAGTCAATTACAAAGAAAATTTGAAAAAATCATCAAAGTGGTTTAATTATCAGTTTTGATTTCTTGTGTTTGTAGAGCTCACCAGCTTCAAGGCGAGGCGTGTAGTAGCCTTCCGTAAGAATTTGATCGAGATGACTGAGCTGGAAATAAAACATGCCAAGGTGAGGTGGTTGAAGTGTTGTGTGTATCATTACATGTTTACTTGACAGTGTTCAGGTTCTCATGGAAAACCTGGTAATATGAGAGAATTTAAAAAATGTGCTTTCCAGGACTGGAAATGTCTATATTTAAATTTCTATATTGAATATAAACTTGCGTTCAATAGATTGGGGTCAGTAAGATTCTCTTTTAAAAGAAATTAATAGTGCAATGGTGCTGTATATCGGCGTGCTGCCCACAAGGCTATCAGTGCCTACATATAGCGCCGTTGCACTATGGGTGTCCCGTGTTCGAATCCCGGCTTGTGGACCCTCTCTGTTTTATCCCACTTTGCTTCCTGTCATTACTACTGTCCTGTCAGAATAAAGGCAAAAATGCCAAAAATCAAAAAAAAAAAAAAAA